TAAATAGATAAATAAACCACCTAATTAATTCACATTCTTCTACTCACCATTTCTAAATATGTACGAGATATTAGGGCTTTTGTTGGTTCGAGAAAATAAAGATCACAAAATCGGGCAAAAAGCGGACAAGCCAGTGGCGGCACACGATCGCGCAAAATCGAGGACAGGAATCGCCGCCATGTCACCTTCTCCAAGCGGAGACCAAGCATTTTCCGCAAGAGCAGCGAGCTGTGTGTCCTAACTTATGCCAAGGTGGCCTTCATCGTCCACTCCGAGCAGAAACTGCGGCCGCTAGAACCACCGCCACGAGTCCATAAATTTCAGATTCGATTCAATTCGAGAAATAATAATAATAATAATAATAATAATAATAATAATAATAATAATAATAATAATAATAATAATAATAATAATAATAATAATAATAATAATAATATGAATATGAATATGAAGATGGAGAAGGAGGGAGTGAGGAAGAAATGGGACAACATTTGTGGGGTTGGGTGTTTTCGCTTTGATCGAGAAGGAAAAATAATAAAAAGAAGAAAAAGGGGAAGATAAAGATAAAAGAAAAGAGAAAGATAAAGGAGAGAGAGAAAAAACTGTGAAAACGGTTATTAGAGTCAAGTTAGTCTACAAAAGAGAGTATTAGTGAAAACACATCGTGCAATATTGACTAAATAATAATCAGTTGTTTTAATGTAAACAGTTTGTAGCAAATGATAAGGGGTGTCATCATTTCAAAAATCTTTTCCCAAAAAATGAAGAAAGTAAAATAATACATATTGATTATAAACCTACATTTGGAATCAAGCATGGTAGCTAAAATAAATAGAATATGCAAGATTATTTATTTATTTATTTAGAAAAAAAAAATCATTATAGACTAAAAAATTAATGATAAAAATATATAAAATTATATATTATACATACAAAATAAATAAAAACTGTATATTAATTAAAACGGTTCGAGCACTGGTCCGACCAGTGAAATATTGAACCGGTAGCTTCATCGGTTCGATGACCTGTTCGATTTTCAAAACCTTGCTTACAACAATACAATCCCGTTACACTACCCAAGTCCCTTTACATAGTTGGGTTACAAAATGACATGGCAACAATAATATAAATAATAAAAAATCTAGAAATAAAAAGTTAATGAAACAATTCATTTTCTCAATTTGAAATTGTCACTTTCCCAATCCCTTATCTCTCTTCAACCCTAAACCAGTCGATTTCTTTGACAGAAAAAAAATGAATGGCGACAATTTTCTTCCGACAACACCGACGCGAAGAACCTCGGCATCATTTCGGTGAAGGGGATCAAGTGTCGCCTCAACAGGCTTCTTTTTGCCTGCGTTGGTGATGAGCCCGGTGAGGTCGTTGTCGCCATTATGGAGGAAGCGAAGGTTGGGGCCGAGGCGGGCCGAGACTGGGCCTGTTAGGTGGTTGGAGAGAAGGCGCAGAGGTTCCAAATATAAGAGGTTGGAAAAGAGAAGGTGGGATTGGGCCCGAGAGGTGGTTGGAAGACAAGTCTAGGTGGAGCAGTTCGAGCAGACGGCGATGGCCGGCGGTATGGGGCTGGAAAGCGAGCAGTTTGATAGGTTGAGCCCCACCGCCGCCGGCCGGCTGCTGTTGTTGTAGGAGACGCCCCTCCAGAAGCAGAAGTTTGGTTGGGTGGTTGAGACGCCCCTCCAGCGGTGATATCTTGTTAAGACCGATCTCCGTAAGAAGGGTAAGCCAGATCTCCGTAAGAAGGTCCTCGTCTTCTCGAAGGTGCTGAATGGAAAGGACATCTTTTCATCTTTAATCCCGATGGTCAAAGGCGTGACGGCCGAGTCGAAATCTGGGAACTTGATGTCATTAGATGCCGAGCTTTAGAATGAGAGGTTTCCTGTGCTGGGTTTGGTGGCACTTGCTTTCACAGAGCTTGTGAGTTTGTGAAAGGCAGTTCTCTTGTGTGATATGGACAATGTTTTAGTATGTGAAACCTCTGTAGATTGAACATATAATTTTGCAAGTGATCTGTTGTTATAAACATATAAATTTGCAAGTGATATTACAAGCTAGAAGCCAATTTAAACTCAACTCGCATGAACAAAATGATCTTTTGTTACAGATAAACATTTCCAATGAGATATGTTAGGGCCATCATTCCAAGTGGCTTTGGCCAATTGAGGGAATATGATATATAGACAATACATAAGTTCAACAATTTTCAAAGATCACATATCTATACATTCAATCATATATGCTAAAAAAGAGTGGACAAAGGAGGTATCCACAAGTATAAATAGACTAAAAGCAACATGTGGAGTTCTCATTACATACTACCTAGTACATACCAAGGTGACGAACACTTATCAGTTCTAAAAGGTAAAATGGAAAATATACACACATGAAATAAACAATATAATACTCATACATATGCATTTGCTCAAATTCAACACCGTGTATTCTGTCTTACGCGCAGACAAGTTTGCCCGGCTTATCTAAGACTCATTAGAAAACAAGTTTTCCCGGCTTATCTAAGACTCATTATAGTCCAGGTGTTAGTCGAGCCAACAACAGGCAGTGAAGGTCGAAGTCGAATCACATGGATCCTTTTCACAATTGATAAAGCTTTTTTCCGGTAGAACAATTTTTTTGTCCTTCGTGACTACACGTGAATGTGACATATCGTAGAACTCCATCATCATCCCTCCCCGAACTTTTTTTTCTCACAGGAAAACCCGTAGCATACGCATATCGCATATAAAGGTCATAATCTTCCTTTTCATTAGAAAACTGCATTCCAACCTTAGGAATGATCAAGGAATCATCTGTTCCAGTTTTATTATCCTGAGCACTTGCACTTTCTTCAAAATTTTCATTTTTCTGAGTTCACGATCACAACGTCATCCGTGCTTGGTTCTCCTAGTGATATACAAAAAATTCACCCATTACTTAAGAAAAAATATATAGTATAATACAATTTGGGGTCTGCCAAAAAAATAAAAACAAAAATAAATTGAAAGAAGAGTTACCTGAATATGTAGGAATAAAATTTTCATCTTCCATTGTTGATAACAAGAACAAGAAAATGAAGAAGACTTATAAACAATATTTATTTTCAATATCTGCTTGAGAAAATATGGCACAAACGTTGATCATGAACTTTGGATGCGTTGCCGCCATTCGTGAGAAACTCACTTATTAGTCAGAAAATAAAATTAGGGTCTAACCCAAATCTTTAAATCCTGGCCACTAATTTATATTTAATCCTATCCGTACACCTCACTTTGTAAATAAACTTTGTCAACTGACTTGGTTAAAGAAGCATAATTGTATTAATTTATGCTCTTCGTAGACATTAAAGCGGACTCAATGGAACAATTTTGGTCCCGTTTGTTATTTTGAGGTTTAACTACTCCAATTCGATAAATTAGTTTGTTTGGTAACAGGCTAATTTGAGTATCCTTTTCGACAGAAACATACTAATTCTTAAAATGCACAGAGTATCGTGTTGGGAAAAGAGAATTAAAAAGATTCAATAAAACATAGAAATTATAAAATTTAGTTTTTTACCAAATTCTTATTTCATAACTAATACAATTTACTAAATATTATTCATCGATACACTCAATTATCAGTCATTCCTTGTTAACTAATATGTCTAAATACATAGCAAAATGGATGAATAAAAAAAGTCAAAACGACATTTATTTAAAAAAGGAGGTAGTACCTTTTATCTATTCAATATACTAAATTCATTAGACATTGACCCAACAAGGATTTACAACCGATTACATGAACCACAAGTCCACTACGGGCGCACTAATCAACAAAGCATAAACCATATGGAGAAGACTAGCTAGTCTTTTTGGTAGCATGAACAAAACAAAAGGCTTACAGTTTGGTGTCTTTAAATATATTTAGGCCTCGTTTACTAGCCTTGATAAGATTGGATAAGGTTGGTTAACCAACCTTATCATACATTTACTAGGTGGTATAGGAAATAGGATTTGGCAGATGTGGCAAGCGGGTCCCACGTTTAAATGCTGAGTGGCTGGATTTTTTTGTCCCACCATTTTGGCCAGATAATTTTATCCTTGTTTTCAAATTACTCTTTTGTCCAAAAATTACCATTTAAAATATCTAAAATACCCTTTGTTGTCCATCAAATTACACAATTGGTCATATAAATCATATTTCTGTGTCATTTTCACACAATTCGTGCGACCGACAAACCCTAATGCTGCCCAAGT